CCCCGCCCCTCTCGACTTAATGTAGTGGTCTGTTGTGTCGCCGGCAGCCCACCCGCCCCCGCCTCTGTGCCGCGACCGAGTTTGGCATTCCCTGGTGTCTGTTGATCGTCCTCGACCGCAATTTATAGAAAACGTGCAGGGTGGGTGAAAAAAAAAAACTGCCCCAAAACCGGTTACAAATCGTCAAAGTGTTTTATTTATTTTCATTTTTTCCGCAATCGTTTTTATTTTATTTTTTTCGGTGAGCGCTTGACCTGGTCCAGGCTGGCCGCAGGCTGGCCTGTCCTGCACTGCGGCGCCCGGGGATCGATTCGGCTTGAAGCTGACGGTCGCCACTCGAGCGGACGGACTCGCTGCAGCGCCAGGGCCGGCCACAGGCAGGCCACGGTCTGGCACAAGGAGAAGGAGGGGGACCTAGAAGTCTTCAGAAACGATGATTCTTTGGTTTTAATTCGGATCGCGATTCGGAGATTGAAAACACATGCTGCTTGGGTCCTATACTTTCGCAAAATTTCCTAAAATACTACCATGTAGTGACAAGTACCAAATAGTAACATTTGTTTGAAAGGTTTATTTGACAAGTCTTTTTGGCTACCCTTTAAAATGTTTGGGTGTTGGATTTCAATCAACAACGCAATGTTTCGGCAAAATTGCTATGACTGAATGTGGACGGTGTGATTAAGTGCGGTGAACGACTCGTTCAGATGATGTTGCGGACATGGGAGGGCCGTAGTCCCCCTCGGGGGCATAGCAACAGATGTTCGTTTGGAAATAAATGTAAAAAGCGAATGTTGGTTGGGGGGAGGGGGGGGGGGGCGAACAGGCCGCAGGTGGCCCCGCCCCGCGCCACCCAGCAGGAGGATGACCTTTACAATTTATTTCCTGTCCGAGGCGCTCCGGAGGCCGCTACAAGATGTAAATATTGACGACGGCGGCCGCGCCGTTCCGTTTCCGCCATAAGCCTCTCTATAATGTAAATGGATCCGTCGGAAAGGGACTTGCGCTTTTATTACAACGTCTTCCTCTTTTGGAAATTGAAAGTTGCCACCGCCCCCTCGGCTCCGTGACCCTGGCTGCGGGAGCGGCACGCAGTGCAGCGATGCAGCAGCGTGCTTGCCGATGACGTAACGTATCCTCGCCCCACTGCCTACGCCCACTCGGGCCTGTCTGTGTACGCTGGGCCGAGCTCTCGCTAAGCTTGAACGTGGTTGCGCTTGCAGAGGCCGTGCGGGGAGCGCCATGGAGCTACTGCCGGACGACGTCCTGCTGGAGGTGCTCGGGCACGTGGACGTCGAGGACCTCTTCTCGTGCCGCCTCGTGTGCAAGAGGCTCGGCGGCCTGGCCGTGCACCCGGACGCGTGGCGGCGCCGGACCCTGCACCCGCGGGACCCCGTGCTGTGCCCGGTGGTGCGCCTGGCGCCCTGCTTGTCGTCGCTGCCGCTGCTGCTGCCGTCGGAGGGGTGCCACTGGCCCTACAGGATCGGGTGCGCCGTGGAGGAGCTGGTGCTGCACGTCGAGCGCAGCGCCGGCGCCGTGCACGCCGCCTTGCTCATCGAGCGACAGCTGGCGCTCGGCCGGCTCAAGAGGCTCCGGGTCATCATCCTCAGCACGGAGTTTGTCGACGAGCAGCTCGACGAGACGGACGCCCGCGTCCTGTTCGAGACCCTGGCGTCCGCGACGGCGTCCGGCCTGGAGTGCCTGACGGTCTGCAGCGACGTGGCCAACGCCCAGAACGTGCGCCTGCCGGCGACGTGCACCCTCGGCGCCGTGCCCAGCACCATGCGCGCGCTGACCTGCACGCATTTCCCCAGGATGGAGCCCTTGTTCGACCTCGTGCTGTCGAGCCACGCTGCCACGCTGGAGTCCGTGGCGCACATCACTGCCGACATGACGTCCGCAGTGGGCTTGCTGGCCGGGCTGCCGAGGCTCCGTAAGCTGAGCTGCGAACTGCACCCCGGCCTGGACGCGCTGGTGGCGTGCAAGGCGCTCACGGACCTGACCGTCATGGTGGAGCGCGAGGACGCGCAGCCCGCGGGGGCCGTCAGGCTGCTGGGCCAGGCCTGCCAGCTGCGCAAGGTGGCCCTGGTGCACGGCGAACGCCCCTCGTGTGTCGCCGCGGTGGAGGAGCTGCTCCTGGCGCTGGCCTCGCCCGCGCGGCCTGCCGCGGAGACGCTCGAGGTGACGCACACCTCCAGGACGCCGTGGACGCCGTCGCCGGTCTCGGTGCGGGCGGAGCCGCTGCTCGGGGCGCTGTCGCGCCTGCCGGCGCTGCGGGAGCTGACCCTCGACTGGGAGTCGGACCAGCTCCTCAGGGGCGTGCGCCCGGGCACCACCCCGGCCCTCATGAGCCTCGACCTCCGGACGCAGAGGGGCGACACTTGCGGCCACGGCTGGGTGCACAACGAGGACTTCATGGCCTTCATGCTGGCCAACCCCTCCCTCCACGTGCGCGTCGCCAACTGGGAGTGCGACTGCGAGTTCTGCGAGGACCCGGACTGCCACCACCAGCTGCAGTGCGACCTGTGGGACCACGAGGGCGCCTACTTCTACTCCCACCCGGAGGACCAGTGCCCCTGGCAGCACGAGGATGACCACGATGACGGGATCTGGGTGCGCATTCCATTAGACAGTTAAAAAAGGTGTCAAAATGATACCATTTACTGGCAACTATTGTCTATGAAATTTGACTTGTGAAATGCCAGGTGTTGTTTCAGTTTGATTTATTTGTTTTTGGTTTGTTTGTTAATATTCGGTTCGAATAAAGTCTATGTTTGTGTTCTGTAAAAACCTCAACAGCAAGTTTCTTTTGTGTGTGTCTTTTTTGACGTGAACCACGAATACACATTAGAAGTGGGAGACGCCCAGTTGCCTCTCGGCGTTTAGAATTTTGAAGGAATCCGATGTGGTTTTATATGATGGTTGCCGAGGCATTGGTGCCAACTCTCGATTCTACCCACATTCATGTTGTAGCGCTCGGCGCGCCAACAGAATTAGCGCGAAAAAGAAGCCGTAAGGGAAAGGTTATTTTTTGTTTGGGGGGGGGGGGGGGGTCGTTACGGTATCACTGCGAACAGTGCAAATCAACTGCGAGTCTGATTGTACTTGTAAGCGTCAACAAGATTTTTTGCGCACTATAGGCAGTTTGCAATTCAACTATTTCATATCAAAACATTGAAGCAGTGCACACACATGTTGGCAATGAGGGGTGCGCCACAACTGCGTTCTGGAAACTTCTCCACAAAAAAAAATGAAATACATTAAAAGATAGACCTTTCAAGTATTTTTTCATAAAAAAAAAAGTTCCTAAATATAATTTTTTGGAAACAGCGCTTGCAGTGTCCGCGAGGAGCTCGGCGAGGAGCATGGACCGACTGCCGGACGACGTGATCCTGGAGGTGCTGAAGCGCGTGCGCGTCGAGGACCTCTTGACGTGCCGCGTCGTCTGCAGGAGGCTCTGCGTCCTGGCCGTGCACCCGGACGCGTGGCGGGGCAGGTCCGTGCACCTCGGGCGCGACATCTCGGCGTGCCTGTCCTACTACCGGCAGCACGCCGACGACGAGCCGAGGCCCACCGCCGTGGCGACCTTGCTGCCGGCGCTGCTCCTGGCGCCGTGCCTGGGCGCGCTGCACATGGTGCTGCCGACGCCGGGCTTCCTCTGGCCGCCGGCCGCCGCGTGCGCCGTGCGCGACGTCTTCCTGTACGTCGTGAACAACGCTGGGGTGCGCGAGGCCGCCCGGGTGGTCCAGCGCCAGGTGGAGCTCGGCCGCATGAGGAGGCTGGAGGTGCGCATGTCGAGCGAGGACTTCCGCGACCTGCTGCTGCGCGAGGCCGACGCCCGCGTGCTGTTCGAGGCCATGGCGCTGGCCGCCGTGTCCGGCCTGGAGCACCTGACCATCTCCAGCGACGTCAACAACTCCAAGTACGTCGCCCAGCCGAAAACGTTCACTTTGCACGCTGCCGCGTCGGGCGCCCTCAGGGAGTTCAGCTGCGAGGGGTTCCCGGCGATGGGGCCCTTCTTCGACCTGGTGGTGTCGAGCAGCGCGGCCACTTTGGAGAAACTGACTTGCGAACCGCACCCCGGGCTGGACGCGCTAGTCGCGAGCAAGTCGCTGAAGGCCCTGACCATCGTCGGGGAGGGGGAGGTGGACGTCGACGGTGCCGTGCAGCTGCTCCGCCAGGCCTGCCAGCTGCGCGAGGTCACGCTGGTTCACGAGAGCCGGGTCGTGACCGGGAAGCTGGTCGTGGCGCTGGCCTCGTCCGGGCAGGCGGCCGCGGAGAGGCTGACCGTCCTGCTCAACAATCACTATGGGAACGTCAGGAATGTCTCGGTGCCGCTGCTCGCGGTGCTGCCGCGCCTGCCGGCACTGCGATACCTGAGCGTCGACTGGAAGCCCGTAGAGCTGCTCAAGGGAATGCGCCTGGACCACGCTCCAGCCCTCCGGTACTTCAAGATCGAGACTCAATCCAAGTGCGCTCACTCCTGGGTGCACAGCCGCGAGCTCAAGAGACTCATGCTGGCCAACCGCGCGCTGCACGTGCGCGTCGACAACATCATTACGTGCGACTGCAACAAGTGTTCGTACTGCGCGCGCCACCAGCAGCTGACCCTGGCCCTGAGTCTGGAGCACCACGTGTACTTCTACACGCACCCCGACGGCCAGTGTCCCTCGCCCGAGTACCATGGCTCTGAGGGGGTTTGGGTCGGCCTGCCTTTGTGATGACATGCAACTAAAACTACCAAGTACTCCAGTAGTAATTTCTTATATTTTAAAAAAAGTTCTTATTTGTACTCATTAAAGTGTTCTTCGGTGTTCTTTGTGTTCATTCCGCAACTGTTGAAGTCATTTCCCCGTTACCGTGACAGTATTCTAGCTAGGCACCATCAACAGTGTAAATTTTGATCCAACAAATTGAATTTTTTGGGGGGATTGACATACTAAGTGTTTTGTTCGAATACCTTTCAAACCTCGCCTGACTGTCCCTTTGAAATTCCTGCCTGTCCGGGTTTCGTATGACGGATGCCGAGGCAGGGGTGCCAACCCTCCGCACGTCGCACATCCCATGTGCCGCCAACACAACGCCAATACGATTGATGGGGCGGAGACTATTTCCGCCGTGAGAGAGAGAGAACGGGACGCAGGGGAAGGAAAGTCAAGCGAAAGAAGAGGGGGATTTGGGGGGGGGAGCGGTCGGTGCGGTGCGACTGCGTGTGTTGTGCCACAAGGGTTGCCAACCTCCATCTCACTTTTTTTTTCTCTGCCCTGGCCAGACAGAATCACACTCTTGGATCGGGTCGCCCAGGGGGTTGTGTCCGTCCCCTGCAGCCGACGAAAAGGGAGAGGGGGGGGGGGGTGTCTCGTGACATCCACTCTCGCCGCGTCACGTCCTCTGGCGCTCTCTATGCAAGTACCCCCCCCCCTCCTTCCCCAAGCATTGGACGGATGTGCACACGAAAAGGGGGAGGGGAGGGAAATTTTGAAGTTCAGTATTCTCGCACGTGGGTGGTGGGTCGGGTACTGGACGACGGAGGTCCGCTAATGTTGCATCGCGTTGGAGCATTAAGGGAATAAGGGCGTCTCGGTGGCGGTTGGGGGGGGGGGGGGGGGCTCAAAGCCAGGGCGACCTTACTGCGGATGACAAACTTGGCGAAGGCCTCCTTTGCCAGCAGCGACGGCGGCAGCAGCGGCCTTTTCAAGAGGGAGTCTTCCTTGTTTCAACTAATTCCGCGGAAAGAGCCGGCAGTTTGAGCCATTCTTCCCTCGCAGCGGACTGGGGGGAAAGCAATCAAAGGAGACCACCCCGATGGGGGGCTCTCGATTCTACCCACATTCATGTTGTAGCGCT